TTAGGATCATCTTTATTTTGCCAAAATAGAAGAAAAAGCATGAAAAAGCTTTCTATGAAATGTCTTTCTTATTTTCACTCATTTCTCTTTGGTTGTGTGCTGTTTGAGTTGAGGACTCTGTGTATGTACAGAGCTTAGAACAGTAAGCTTCAATCCAGGCTTTGATCCAGACTTATTCCATTCCAATAATATTAATTATTTGCTCTATGTGAACTAAGGAACATACATTTCTTAACATGCCTCAGACAAATATTTAATTAATTCTGTCTTGGACAAACACATCTCAAAGCTTTTTTTTGCCTGAGAAAGTTTAAGATCTGAAAAAAATTACCCTTTCCCTGTATTCTCAAGCTACTGATGCAGATATTCAGCACCGGGTGAAGAGAGAGCCCTTGCACCTTCCCAAACACAGTCTGGCATCCCCACATTTCCCAGCCCGTGGTGTGGGGCTGCTCCAGTCCTGCAGCCAGTCCCACAGTGTGCAGCACCCACAAGAGGGAGTAGGGCCAAGGAGCCCCATGGGAGCATGCTTGGGGGCTAGATGCGGCCAGTACTCCAAGGCTGTTTCCAGAGGACGGATCTGGGTCTTTTTTGGTGTTTCTGTGAGATTGGGACTACCTGAGGTGAAGGCAGGCTTCGTGGTCCTGGGCAGCCTGCTCTGAGTGGCCCTGCTTGAACAGGGGATTGGACCAGATAAGCTCCAGCTGTCCCTTCTCACCTCAACCCTTCTGTGATTCCCAGCAGCTCTCAAGTAAGGAAACACCTCTGTGGCTTGGGCTTGTGATGCCTGGGCCAGCAGGTATCTCCTCTTAGGTCTGAGGGTCTCATCCCCATCTGCTGTGGACATATGCCAGGAAAAAGGCTGCAGGTTTGCCTCTTCCCTTTGCGTTAGGAGAAAACAAAGGCAAATTTCGTATTTCACACCACTTCAGATGCAGACCTTTGCTGTAGATCTCCTTCCTAGGATGCGTTGCATGCAGTCAAACCCCAAGATGACTTCCTAATTGTCAGGAGGAACCCGTCTTGACTGAAGCAAATGGTTGCTGTGAGTGTTGCAGCCTGACTGTCTCCAGTGCTGTTTTACTGGCGTATTCTGATGGTGAATTAGGCCTAGCATACGTAGGGACAAATAAAGAATGGAATAAAGTATACGTGTAAGTATATGACTGTATGACTCTATGAATCTACCTCAGGATGAGCAGTGTCTAAAAGGTTAATATCATATGTAATAGTTAATGTAAGTGCTGGCAGCTTACATGCTGAAGTGGCTTCTAAGAAATAGCTGTAAATGTACTTACCTTGGTAACTGTCAAAATCTGATTTCCATATTTTGGTGAAATTACCAAGTGAGTAAAAATAAGGTATGGGAAGAGGCAAAATCCTTGGTATTTGGGTTTTCTTGTGGGAACTCTTTAATCTTTAAATCAGTTTAACAGCAGTACGTAATACCATTTGCTAAAACAGAGTATATATTTCATGCTTATGTTTAGGGAGTCTGGCCCATTAAACTATAGGGCTCCCCAGCCCTGTTTTGCTGTTGCAGTAGCCACAGCATCTTGCAGCCCTGTACATGTGTGCAGGCAGAAGTTTTGTATTATGCTGGGGGTGCTAGTGGTCTGCTTTCAAGTGGCTTGCTGTGGTTTGAAAATCCATTTCTCAAATGGGTACTCTCAACATTGCAACTCAGTGTTCAAAAAAATCCATTATTACACCTTTGTTATCTAGAGCTTTTACTCAGAATGTAATGAAACAGCTGGACAATTGTTAGTTGCTGGAAAGGGGAAGAGGATTCTGCAGTTACTAAACTTTCCCCTTCTGTATGTAGGCACCCCCTTTACCCAAACCTGTGAAGTCTGTAATTTCTAAAGTTATTTTTTTGTCAGCAACTTTTTGTTGTTCCCCAAGTTGGAAAAATCATCTTCCTTGTGAGATAATTTCTGAATGACTCTGTGTGTGTGTTTATGTGTACGTATAGGAACCTCTTGGCATTCATGAGGAATGTTCTGGAGAGGATGAGGACTCGTTTCGAGAATGAGGACTGACTTTGCAGAGTGATACTTAGAAATTTTTCTGCCATGTCGCTTACTACATTATGTAGGGCCTGTATTTGCTTTGTTTCCACAACAATCAGAAAGTCTTTGGCTTTGCTGAGTACTTTTATTAAGCCATTACTAGATATTTTTTAGAACTTCCTGTCTTGCACTGCACATTCAGTGCTGATGATACTGGTATAGTGAAATCTGACGTGCAGGAAGAACGGAGCTAATTAAATAAACAGATGCCATTCAGATGGTAAAAGACTGTTCTAAACTAAAAGACTGTTCTAAAAGTACTTGAAAAGGGAAATTAACATTTTTATTGAACAAGTACTTATTCATCTTTTAATGTAAATTGTTATTATTCTGTAGTGCTACTGCTGCTTCATCATCTGTCAGTGGATCTTTCTAGGGCCAAATCTTTTCAGTCTCAGTAGTACTGCTGAAGTTAATATCAACTGTTCTGCACAGTTTCTGTACACAAATAATGGAGAAAATGAGTCTGATCACTTTCTCTTCATTTTCTCCGTATATTTGTCCATATTGTACTGAAATTTACTTGGTAAAAGGATTGGCAGTAGAAGGCTTTTCATCAAACTTTGAACTATTGAATTGACTTAGGTTATTTTTATAGGAATTCACCAGGCAGATGTCCAGAATGAATCTGTATGTCACATAAGGCAAAAAAAATATACAGGGTGATTTCTTCTTTCAAGAAACCATTCCTTTGCATTAGATTCATTCCACAAGGTGGCAAATTTAATTTGGGAGTATCCATTGCTTACATTGCAAAGGAAACAAAGAACACTCAGGATTTTATGTAGCATACCTTTAAAAAGAGAAATGGTTTAGGAGATTGTCACCTTCTATTTTATTTTATTTTTCCTCTTTTATATACAAATCTGCTAAAAGTAAACTTCATTTTACATTAATGTAGTCATGGGTTGGAATTCAGAGAGGAAAACAACTTTTCCCATTTTCTGCAAACACAATTTTAGATACTTTGAGCATGGATGATGATTTTGCAAGCTGTTATCTTCATAATGTGCAGAGAAAATAAAGGGCTTCCCTTACATTTTATCACAATTTTAAGTATACTTTACATTAAAATTAGTAGGTTGTGTCCCACTGCCTTTGCTATTGCTAGGAAACTCTTGCTTTGCAGCCAATCCACATTGTTTAAGTTGTCAAGCAACATGACATTTGAGCATGTGAATGACTTAATTTTCACTGGGCTATGCACATGCTTACTGCCCCATAAAAAAGGATTCAAAGAAGCGTGGAGGTTCAGATAGCACTTGGATGGCTTCAAGTTTGTGCTTATGCTCAAATTCCATGCATGGAATCATGCATGAGAGTCTAGTCAAAAGTCCCATAATTAAAAGGCTATTAGAAGACTGTGAGATAACTTTGGGCAGATCTTATGTTTTTGGGGGTTTCAGTAAGTTTGAAAAATGTACCACTGAAGCCTAATATTTTCTCAGGTGCAAAATTAGCTTTATTCAACTTTATGTTGGTACCCTCTGCAAGCCTAGAGAAGGGCCTTCTGCAATGAAATGCTGAGCAGAGTTTAGTTTATGATTTTAACAGAGAGAGTGAAAAATCAAGCAGACTCTCAGCTGATGCCAAGAAAGACTTGGCAGGGAAGGAAGGAATTGGTTGATTAACAAATGGAAATTCAAGGAGAGTTAAGATCCCACGTGACCTGTGAGCAAATGCCCTAAGTGTTACATATATGGGGCAATGCAGTTTAACATCTTTAATGAAAATATCCCCACATGTCTATGCTCTTTTTAATTGTAGCATCAATCAAATTCAGATATTTGAAATTTAAGTCAGTGATGGCTTATGTTGTAAGGTATAAAAAAAAGTTTATTTTTTATTTTATTTTTTTGTGCTAGTGTGTATGAATGTAACTGGTGTTGCTTGTGAGTCACAACTGGTAATCCTTAAAATGATGTCAGTAAGATTTTTATGCTATACACTCACTATGATGATATACACTACACCAAAAATGTTTTACAGAAAAGAAGTTTGTTTACTAACTGTTTAGAGGGCTTTACATTTTTATTGTAGATAACTTTCATTTCCATTATCTGTAAATCTAGGCTTTAGTTGTTCCATTGCTGTGTGCAGTCCAGAAAGGGAGGTATTTTAGTACACTTTCAAGAAGCCTGTAAGAAGTACATGCAGTAAAATTCAGTACCTAAACAAAGTGCTCCTAAGATTTAGTACCTGAAAACTATAGGAAATAAAAACATGCTCAGTAGCAAATGAAAACAAATAGTTCCCATATTAAAAATATGTAATGATTTGTAGAGTTATGCGATAGGTTTGTAAAACAGGTTCATGATTTATAAGGTAACATTGCCTGTCCTTCTTCAAAAGTCAGAATAGTTCCCAGAGAAAAGGCATAATTTCTGTGTAAAAGCATGAAAATTGGGAGTGGCTGGCTGGGCAGGCTATTTACGTAAGATGATTAATTTATACCTGTGAGGGATGCAGTTCATTTGAAGTAATTTAAACATTTAAAAGGATTTTGAAATATGATAGGTTTAATTGGTTTCCAAGAGTCATAGCCTAAATACTCTGTAATATAAAGATGTTCTAGAAAGATGGATGAATAGGACTTTCAGAAACTCATGTGATACAAAACATGGAATGCTAGTGGTCTCACGTGATGGAAAATTCACATATTCACTTCAGATCTGTATTTGGATAGGAAATGAATTAAAAAACATCTAGAGTGTTATCAGTTCTTGTATTTTCTCTGCCTTGCAGCTTTAAAGTGGGTTTCTTAAATTACCCAAAATATGTAATCCAAGCCAACTGAGCATTAATAAGGTTTTAAGAATAAATTAATAAAACTAATATAGGAGTTACTCTGAGGGTTAAACATGGTATAAAACATATTCTTCCAACCTAAATATTGCCTAATTCTTGTTCATTATTTCTTTTTGTCAGACTAGAAGTTGCATACCTGTGAGTAACCACTTTGCTGTGAGGCAGACGCACAAGTGTGGCCTGATGAACTGCACCTCAGGACTACAGAACTGCCATTAGGTCAGTAAGGGTAGGAAGAAGTACAGATGTGATTTTTCCCTTATTACGTTAGGTGGGCAGTTCCAGCTGTCAGATCCCTGGGGACAGTATGTTTCTGTTGTGCTAAGCCTGTGATTAGCATGCTGTGCAATATGCCCCTTCTTTTCCTTCCCAGGGAATTGTACCCAGGTTTCCTACAGAGAGTGTCCGCAGACTCTTCTGGTGGGCTGTCTTGTGGGACTGGGTGACATAAGGTTGTAAATATGTAAAATTGGCTAGCAGTGTTTTGTAGTTTCCACTTTTTTCCATCCCAAGTGAAGGCTGTATACCCAAAAAGCATTAAATCCAGAGTTTGTATTCTGGACTACTGAAAAAACATCGCTCTAGGAGTCTTGTGCACACACCTTACGTTTACTAGAAGCAGAACAACACAGGATGAGTTTGTTCTGGCTTGAGGAGACTTGCCACTGGTAACAATGGTTTTAAATGGAAGCTTTTTGGAGAAGAATGAGATTTTTCTTTATGTATATGCTTTTTTATTGTACTTTCTTGAGTATATTGGGAACCTGCCTGACGTAGATAGATACATTAGAATCTAAAAAGGATGACATGCTGTAAGAAACAAGAATATGGCCTGGGGAATTTTCTTTAGCAGCCAAGAAGCAGTCTGCTTGCCAAGTGACTCCTTTTGTATCCTGTTGTACGCAATTTTAAAATAAAATAGTCTACTTAACAGAACTGATAGAGGGAAGGAGAGAGAGTCTTCCATTCTGGAAGGGTTTGCGTTGGATCCCCTTTGTCTGATATTTATATTTCCAATGGAAAGATCAATGGGAAGTCTACGAAGAGAAGAGGAAAAACATATTGGAAGGCATAATGGAAAAGGTTTTGGTAGGGTTTTGCTTACGTTCTGGCTTCCACTGACCTGGCTTCATTCAGGGAAGGGGTTTGCGAACAGCTATGTATTTCTTCATCAGGTCTGTCTTGGAGCTTTCTTTCTCATGGAATGCTTTATGTAATCAGGAGATATTTTGCATGATGGGTGTTTTAAAATTTCTGCTGTATTTTGTTTGTTCTTTGAAAAAATATATGATTTTAAGCTGCTTTGTAAGAGGACCTGTCTGTTTATTTTCAAATCTAAGCTTAGTTATCCTACTGGTGTGTTCTTTCTATAATCACTGAAGAGTGCAATGCTCTAAAACACCCTCTGTTGACTGCTGTTTGCTGACTGACTACTTCAGGCTCTAAATGTTACTACCCTCCACCTTTTTTCTTTGTGACAAAATGAGTCTATTTGAAACAGCCTTTTTCAGAGAAACAAATATGTTATTCTACTTTTTTATGTTGCCTTGATCCTTCCCACTCTCGTTGCTGAGTAACTAAATTAATACTTTTACTCATAATAAGTAAGATTCTGTGACTTCAATTTTCAGTGCACCTTGAAAATTCCTCTTCACTGGGAGCACTCATGTAGTGCAGTAAGAAGAGTTCCAATTTCAGAATTGAATTTTTATTTTTTTCAGTTGTCCTGTTTAAAGTTTTCCTTCAGATGACTTTCTTTGTATATCTTGGAAACACATGAAAATGTTAAGAACATTGGCACATGCTGTGTATCTGATATCTTGCATGACTTTTCCTTGGTTATGAGCATTTTGCAACAAAAGGCAGCTGTTACTCCAGTGACAGATCTTAGAATATGAAAAAAATAATATATATTTTTGCTAAGAAACACAGGACACAGAAAGGCAATTACTTTTTTTTTTTTTGGCTCTGCTTTTGTCAGTGCTCACTTTTATTAACCTTTTTTTACCATGAAATAAAACAACAGTGACAGAAGAATGTGAATCACTGGGGTGTGCATATCAGAAGTCACTAGTTAGGAGCCACTGTTCATACTTTATAGCAATGGACAGAAGTGAAAGCCCAATGAATGTAACTTCGGATTCCTTCTTGCACATCTGTTTGAACGTGCTTAGGGTGTTAGAGTAACAAAACAGAATAAAACTTGTTGCTTTAAGAAAGGGGAAATATTTTATTTTCAATTTCTTCAAGCAATAAAGTTGCAGACATCTTACAGATTCACATTGTGCTTAGTGTTTAATCTTGCTGTAGTCAAGAGTCAAGCCAAGATAAAATGTCAGTAAAGAATGGAAAAACACTGGCACATAAGACAGAGACAACAGCGAGGTCATTGTTTGTTTCAGTGTTATCCATTAAAATGTTCAATCTTTAATATTGTATTGAATTTAAGTCCCCTTATTCTCCAAAAAGAGATTAAAGAGAAAGCAGTAGAAGTTCCTCAAGAACACGAGCAAAGGAAATGATGACTTCTGTATGAGAGATTAAAAAAAAAAAAAGATATTTTCAGCGTGTCCAACTGCAGTTTGAGAAGTGGAGTAAAAATAGTATTTTGTTAGCCCTGTGTGTTTTTCACTGACATCTTGAGTGTCTCTCCATTTATTTCAGAGGAAATTTCTATGTAGACAGCCTAAAATTCTTAACACATGGGGTGAGGTTATGAATGGAAACGCCTAATACAAATGGATTTTTCTGCCTGTCCTGCACCATGGAACAAGATCAGGGGACTGATGGAAATGCAACCGTAATGCATCTTTAGTAAATCAAATATCATTGTTGCGGCACCCAATTATCAAGCAGTGTTTATTTGAGTGACCACTGCAGCTTGTCTACAGCTCTATTTCCTTTTGTATAAAAAAACTGCTAATAGATTTTGTTGTAATAGGAAGGGAACATTGTTGTGTTGTGTTTTGTTTACTGGTAGTACACAGCTAGCTGCGACAGTCAAACTTTTTAATTGGTGTGGTTATTTGTACTCTTGCCAGTTAATCTGCGAGCAGGAGTACCAGTGAGTGGAATAAAATGTGGAAAATAATGCTGTGTTTTATATAACACCTGCCATGCTCTAGAATGTTAAAGCATTTAGTAAATAAATGCTGAGATAGATAAAATATGACAGTGACTACAAGCAGATACATCACCTGCTAAGCAATTTAACTGGCATAAAGCCATAAGCACCATTAAAATTGCTACTGAAAGAAAGATTTGGCTAAACCTCTAAGGGATGACACGCTATTATGTCTTTCATTAAGAAGAAAAAAAACACACAACGTAGAAATTACAAAATAACAAACCAAAACAAGACTGAAAATACCTAAGATACTGTCTATTCTATTCTTTGGCCCCCAGATTTTATACCTGTATCTTAGCACAGGTGTCTAGAAATACGTATGAAATAATAAAACAAAAGTGGGGTCTGCACAAACCCTCTCTTAACACAGTTCACTCCATTTGTAGAAAGTCTTTTCCTAGTAACTTATACTGTTTTTTCTGACTTTGTTTTAGGTACATTGCTGCTTTTTCTAGCCAGCACACAGTGTACAACTTTCCTTCTGATTCAATTATGATGAAATTGCCTCAGTTTCTTCTTCAATCCAAATAGTCTCAGTACTTTCATTCTTTCTACATAGTTCATCCTTTTAGAGACTTGATAATTTCTGCTACTGTCTTCATGTGTTTTTTTTAGTTGCTTCACATATATTTTTTCTTTAATAAATATTGAGCCAAAAATTCATTTCTGTATTCCTTACCATTGCTCAACAGAAGGACAGGAATGCTTTCTGTGTTACAAAGTGTATGCTCCTGTTTTATATTCCTTTTTTTTTTTTTTTCCCCTCCCTCTTAATACATGCATTTAACTTTTTTTCAGCTTGTGGTCTATTATACCCCTTACCCTCTTCTGAAGTACCTGTCATCTAGCCACTTATTTGCTGTGCCTGAGGTATGCAGCTGATTATCTGCTGAAGTGCAGAAACTTGCACTTGGCCCTACTGAATTGTTCTGTTATTTTTCTGACAACTTCTCTAGTTTGTTGGGATGATTTTGAATTCCAGCCTGTTGTTCAGAATAGCTGCAGTGTCAGCTCTTGATGATTTGCAAAGTTAAGCATCTTCTCTGTTCAGTTATGTAGGTTGCTAATGAAAATACTGCCTGAAACTAGACCACGTTCAGGTTCTTGCAAAAAGCCAAGCAGTACATCTTTTCACTTTTGATAGTGAGCTCTTAACGATTTTGGGTAGTCCTTAAATCAACAAGGTTTGCCTCCATTCTGTAGTTATCTGGCATGAAACAGGCATACCTGCTCATAACAAAGAATGTGTGAGGGAGTTGTGTGCCTTTCCTTTCGTAACACAAGCTGGAAAGCATAAAAGGGGAATTGGGAGTCTCCTGAGTTCACTGGCCTGTGTATTCACCGTATTCTCCATGGGGTAGAATAAAATTTAAAATTTTTAATGAGATCTGATGAAGTAGAAGAAATGGGACTAGTTACTCCTTTGTGCAAAGTGGGACTTTACTGTTTATAAATGATTTCATAGCACAAAAAGAAAAGATAATGTGCACCTTACTAACTCCATGGTAGTCGAATTGCCGTATCTGGGTTTTCTGTGGCATTTTTAATAACTTTGATAGTCAAGGTGATACTTTCTCAGCTTGGATTTCTGCTATTAGCAGGTACTTGTAAGAGTGCAGGTTGCAGTTGCTGGAGAAGAGACAGATGCGAAAGCTGAGTTGTGGGAGAGTCTTTTCTGTGTAGACCTTACATTCCACCTTTCCTGTGGTGTAATACTGTGTGTCTTTACAAAATACACCTTTAAAATGTATTCAGTATTTGTATCTATAGAAGGAAATAGTCGTGAGTTCAATCTTACGTTATGAAAGCATTGTGGCATACTGAAAACTACATATAATTGTGTTGTTGTTTTTTTTTTTTTTTTGGTGGAAAGGGTCAACTACAGCAGCATGACTATAATGAGATGTAAAGTCATCAATATTCTTATGGTCAGTATTTTACTGGTGTTGTCTTGTTTCTATTCCACAGGCAAACAAACAATAATAAGTATGAATCCAAGTCTGCTAATAACTATGCTAATTGCCCACAGGTTGCTAATAACAGGCTTGGGACTTGTGAGAGAGATTACAGAAGTTAGGATAACAGATGCACT